GGTTTTTTTAATTTTTTATCTCAATCATTGAGGTCACGTTTCATTGGACTCATACCCTTAACCACGCTATCCATACATGATCATCGCACGAAAATATTTTTGTGATCTCGTTCCACCGGAAGCCTGAATTACCTTTGATGAGTGCTACACTCACATAGTTCTTCCTCCACACATGTATTTCTGAGCTTATGTGAGGGTCTGCAAGAAGCCTACAATTTAGAAACTTCAACTTCAATCTTCTCTCAATCTCAAAATTGTAACCCTGCCTAAACCCGTTATCTGCCCTCCAACCCTCATTGACCATGTCTTTCAAAATATCTACTAGGGCAACCTCCTCAGTCGGACTCCAAACACGACGTCTTGTTGTTTGGGAGGAGGAAGCTCTCCCACTTTCTTGGGTACATGAATAGCCCATGGCAGTACCTATTTTGACAATAGCTTTGCAAAAAAGATTGGTATTGGATTTCTAAGATAAAGATATTGCATAAGAAAGAATGACAACATTTGGGAAATGAAGGTTAAATAACATGGAAAGTATTCTGAATGGAAAAAATGGACACAAGAAATGGTGTAAACAAAGTCAAAACATCCTCGGTCATCCCATATTTGCCTAATATTTCTTAAACTAAAACATATTATGATCCCAATCATTAAACATATCTTGTGCCAATCGGTCACGGAACTGTGTCCATTCAGGGCTACCCTCCACTTGGTCTATCAAGTCATCTTCACTCGTAGGTGTGGACAATCCATTAGCTGGAATCTCAGGAACTAGTGCCTCCATGGGATTAGTGGCCATTGATGAACACATGAAATTGTGGAGGAGCGTGCATGCTATGATAATGCGATTTTGTGTTCGAATTGAATAATACGAGTAACTCCTAAGAATTGTCCATCGCATCTTCAAAATGCCAAACGCATGACGAAGGTTGTACAATTCTATAAAGTTCTGTGGCCTACAGTTTCTTGTACCCCATTCTTGTAAGTGATATCTGACACCCCTATATGGCGCTAAAAAGTCGGGACCGTTCGTATAACCACCATCCACCAAATAATATTTTTTTGTGCATTCATATTTTAAGAAATAAAAAAAGCTTATGTTGTGTTTAATTTAAACATTTAGAAATTGGATGGTATCCAAAGTGGAATAGAATCATCTATTACCATTTAGAACACGCAGACCATGTGTCATAGTAACCGCATTACGCAGGACTCGACTATCAGCAGCTGACCCCTCCCATCCACATAGCATGTACACGTAGTTCATATTTGTATCACAAACCCCAAGTACATTGACAGAGATACTACCCTTACGATTTCTATATCATGCCTTGTCAGACGAAGGGACTCGCACATCAATATAGGTTCCATCTAGTGCTCCTAGACATCCCTAAAGATGAACAAACACCATGAAGTTATTAGTTCGAAATTGAACTAACAATTTTGGAAGAAATTCAGAAATGGGTTGTAGGTTACCTTGAACCATTTCCACCTTTCATCAACACAACCCGCCTCAACCGCAGTTGGTTGCACAGCTAGGATTTGGGAAGTCAGATAACATTTTCAAGAACATAGTTAAAGTATTTGCTTATGGTTCGACCGGATCTAACAAAATCAAGCTTTAAGATGACATTCTTCTTATGATGAGCTAGGACTGGGAGAAAATAGCAACTTGTTCGCTTGGTGGAACATTTCTAGATTGAAAGTCCCCCACAACTTTCAAGAAGATAACATAGACAGCCAAAGGAGTTACAATCCATACGGAGGTTCTCGACGCAATTTGTGTCGCTCACTTCAATCAACCTTCGCATGTAATTGAGCTGATGGGGGAGTCTATCGCTAACTCGAAACAAAAGGATGTGGTCATTGCCCGAAAGTCGCTGTTTTCACCGAGGAATGATGAATTTGATATAGTAATAAATAGCAAGTAGCAAAAAAACTTGAACACTACTCATGACTTCTTTCAATATAGTAAGAACCACTAATTCTTCTCCAAAAAAATCCATCTACATATGTGGATGAAAAAACCAGATTGACACACTAATTACACTAACAAACCATACAGGTAGAAATTGGAGCAACAATCTTGGAATTTAAGAGTGCAACAACATACCAAAATGATGAGGACAACTTCAAGTGAGAGCACCACAAACATTCAAAACAGACCAAACAATACATGGTAAACATAGCACATAAATTTCCGTCAGTAAGAACTCTTGGATTCAACAGAAATAAAAGCACATCTTATAACTTGTTGCCTTAGTATGAAAGACTACCGATAATCTTTCAACAAGAGCATTAACCAAGATCTTTATAGGCTTTTGAAAACAAATTAGCATCACGTATAAAGAACAACTGAGGTAACACAGGCGAGCATAATGTACCACAAAACCAAATAAAAAGTATAAGATCATTAATTTTTAGAGCATACACCTACCTTTTGCGATTTGCGCAGGGAATGACAGAAAGATACCCGACCACGTCAGTAAATGGGAACAGCTGCAATAAAGTCGGCATTTCTATTAGATTGGCTAACAATAGATGGTGGCAAATTATGAAACATCAAACCACATATAAGTAATAACGAGGTAAGAGTGAATGAGGCAAGCACGAGGGTGGACAATAAAATTCAACTGCAACTCTATTTTCTATAATAGTTACACCAAAATATTAAAATATATTAACAAACCAGTAGAACTTGTTAAGACGATGGTTCCTAAGGAACAATCACAAACGGGGGGAACATAGAGCAATCAGCGGGCAGGAAAACAAATGGTTCATGTTTGTTAAGATTTTCAGGAAACACTTTAATCTTAGCTTGAAAATCAAGCAGGTTACATATCACAAACACACAGTCTGTTGTGATACAACTTATGCACATGAAACCTACAAATGTTATTGGCCCATCCTTTCACAAACTAAGTGCCACCAGACACCATAAAACAATTACAAGCGCATCTCATCCAAATAATTTAGTTTACACAGAAAGCTAGAGAAGCCCTAGAAAGACATGTATATTTTAACAAAGAAACCATTACTCTGGTACCTTTAAAGTGTTTGTTGTAAAACCCAATCGCTAAAGCCACAACAAGTCTCAGTTAAATGGGAGGCCGAAAAGGAAAAAAGAAATTAAAATACAAAGTGCCTGGCCAACATAAAACAGAGTAGCCTAGGGAGCAACAATTCTAGACACTCAACTCTCACTTTACCCCAACATAAAATGAACAAATAAGATGATTAAATGAAATGCAATAAAACCTCATGGGAGCCTTAAACTTAATTATAATAAAATTACACAAACTCACCATATGCTAATCATGAAATAAGCTCACCACACACAAAATCATGAACAACAATATAGGTGATGTGCGATACCATATACACGATTATAAATCGATTTGTTAACTCGGTCTAAGAAAACAGCGTCTCGACCAAACCGGTCCAAGGCAGATCCCTCGACAGATTGACAAGGTGTTATAAGGAGATAATGGGAAGTTATTCAAGAGTAGTGGGTAAGACATAACAGTTTCCGATATGTGGGGAACGTGGCCCTGGTGGTTAGGGGGCAGGTAAAATTCAAAGAGATATATGTAAGTAAAGCTGGGGAAAAGGGGGTAAGATACATTCATAACATTTTTTAAGTCACGTTTTGATATCTGCAGTGTCTAGATAACTGACTTGAGCGTCGGAGGGTCAAACTGTAGATCTTTTCTCTCCGGCCCACGCTTTTTGCAGGTATTCAGGACGATCAACTGGTGCAAAGACGAGATTCCAAAGATTCTAATCGGTCTAAGGTATCATTTTCGTACCATTTTCGCGTTGTCTGTGGGGACTCTAATAAAAAATCTTTCTGTTTTACAAATATCTGAAGCTATAACGAACGAAATCCCAAGAAAAAATTTACAATCATCATTTGATAATGCGTGGGTGGAAACAAGGCCATTGGGGGATGTCCCACCCTGGGTTTTGCCGGAACATCACAGACGTCGAGAATCCGGCCGACTGTGGGCCAAGGTGTGGGAGATCAGGTGATACCCCCAGGTTTTGCCGGAACATCACAAACGCTGGGAAGCCGACCGACTGTGGCCCAAGGTGTGGGAGATCAGGTAATACACCCAGGTTTTGCCGGAACAGCACCGATGCAGGGAAGCCGGCCGACTGTGGCACAAAGTGTAGGAGATCAGGTGACGCCTCCAGAAATTAGGGAATAAGACATGGCGGTTGAACCACCACCCCAACTAGACCGGTTGGTAATACAGAATGAAGGAGTTGCGGCGCAACCCATGCCACCGCCGGTGGCGGAGCGGCCCCTTGGCCAGCAAGTAGTGACTTTGACCAGAGAACAATTGGAACAAATGATAGCTAATGCTACTGCTCGAGCAGTGCAGCAGGTGACAGCTAGTCAATCTCAAGCAACAGTTGCCCCAACAACAATAAGTGAAGCTAATGAAGAAGATGCGTCTAGCCATACAGAGGCGCTTCCCTGTTGAGGGGAAATGGAAAGATTGGTTGAACAAGTGAGACAACTACAAGAAAGGGTCGATGGCCGACCATCTGGCCAGATTCTAGGACATCCATTCTCGACCAGAATCCTTGATGCGCCACTACAAGAAAATTTCAAGAAAACTAATTTTGTGCTTGACGGAACGACAGACCCGGCGCGATATGTTCGAACTTTTGGGAATATGGAAGTCTTGCATGGGTACTCAGAGGCTATAAGTTGCAGGGCGTTCTTGACAACTCTAAGGGGAGGGGCTTTGGATTGGTTTAATCAACTCCCCCCAAGGTCGATCAAGGATTTCGAAGACTTCACGGAGAAGTTATTGAATCAATATCCAAGCTCCGTGTCTCAGGAGAAAACATATCTTACTTTGATGGCGATGGGGCAAGGAGAGCATGAATCACTCAGAAAGTATATTTCTAGGTACAATCAGACATGCTTAAAAATACCATCAGCATCAGACGAAGTGAAAGCAGGAGGATTGAATCTCCTTCTTGCATTATTTTTGCAATTCTGCCACGTGTGCAAGATTTGCCACTTGGTCGCTGACTCGGATTCACGTGTGGTATGCCCGTCAATTTTATTTGCCACATCAGATTTTTGTTAACGGCTGTTAAAAGCATGTATCGGTTTGCCAAGAATGTAAAGGTCATGTATTTATTTGCCAAGGTCTAAAGGTCATGATTAAATGACCAAACACGTAAAGGTCGTGTTCTTTCCCACCATTAAGCCTTTATATAAATTATGCATGACCCCAATATTGAATTGAGATTTAATAAAATTTAAAAATTGCAAATGAGCCCCTCGTATATATCTAGTTCTCAAACGGAAGTCCAAACTTATAAACACCCTTCACCATCATAGTGCTCACGACTAGCAAACCACCTGCCGCTTACTCCACTCAGGCGACCAACCATATGCAGTCGGAGAACGAATATTGTACCTACATAGCCCTGAGTCCTCAAAACCAAACTTCACGGCGAATGAAGAGTGTGGCCGGAAACGAGACGACCACTTCCGACGACGTTCTTGAATGCGGGGCGTTCCCGATTTTACGACGTGACTGTGCGTGATCGGAGGAGATGGTACCGCTGGACATGACTTAATTGAAGCAGGTGCTGGAAGTGCTAGTTTGATTGTTTCTGCCGGAGTATCGAAGCCCATCTCCGATAACGGTCTGCGGTGGACCGACGGCGGGGCTGTGGAGCCGCCTCTGACAGGTTGAGGATGCGCAGAGAATGGGCTGAGTGGCGCGGCAACCGGGATGGGGAGCAGCGGCGGTAGATTTGGATCTGCGCGACGGCCGGTCGGTGATGACCTAAGCGGTGAAGAAAGAAGCTCTCCACGGTGGCGCTTTCTACTAAGATAGGTTAAACTACCAACTTTCCACGCTAAACTAGATTGGAGAATATGGTGGGTAAGGAAAATATCAAAACACCATGTTATTCTTGTTGGGTATGGTGGTGATGACAGCGGGCGCAATACAGTGGCGGAGAGTGTGCAGGCGCGGCCTCGGACGACGACTGGCGACAGACAGTGGTGGCGCGAGAGGTCTGTTACGCAGATTGTCAGAATTGTGTGTGTGTGTGCTGTTGAGAGATAAAGAGTTAGTGTGTGTGTGTGTGTGTGTGTGTGTGTGTGTGTGTGTGTGTGTG